TGCTCCACAGCAGACACCAGGGCCGTGGTGGCATCTTTCGATCCAGTCTTCATCATGGAAAAAGCTTTCATTGCCCTTGGAATTGGAGTTTATCTAGCTCCTTCCCAAGCCCTCAGGCCAGTGTGATTGGGCCCTGCCGCCTTCTCCCACTGGGACACCCACTTGCAGCTTTGTTCACTGTTTTGCAGCCACCATGTCCTGCCCTCAGTGTCTAGGTCACCCAAGCCTGTCCCACCCCTACAACACGACACCTGTGTCCCCTCTGCTTGGAGCAGCCCAGCCCCGGGGCTCCTTCTTACCCTTCAGTTCTCAACTTAGGTGTCACCTTAAAGGAGCCTTTATGGCCCCTACCCCCAGGCTAGACCAGACCCCCTCGTTGTGTGGTCTCAAGCCCTTGAACTTCCCATCGTCCTCCCGACGGCATTTATGGTCACGTCCTGGAATGACCGTGTGACTGACCAAGCTCTCCCCAACTGGACTGTGGGCCTCACGTGAAGTGGGGCCGTGTCTGTCCCATGCAGGGCACGCAGCAGGCATGCACCAGATGCATTTTCAACTTTTGACACCTACCACGTGTGGAAGTTCCACTCTGGCTACTTCCTTTTTCTGGTCTGCTGTAAACTGCCACCACTTCAGTCTCAAGGATTCCAGAGAACTGGTAGCCTAATAAAGTAAGGCGCCGTGTTCCTGCACTGAGTGATCAGTGATGGTGGCCGGGAGATGAGGCTGTGACATCTCATTTTCTAAAACTTGCTTTTGAGTAATATCATTTATGGCCAAACCTTGGGTGAGAAGCTCTTGCTCGTGGAGGTTTAACTCAGCTGCTGTTTTTTTCATTCTGCCAGTTTGGAGCCCACGTCTCTGAAGTAGATTCTTAATGATAGAAGTCACCGTAGGAAGACATGCACCCTCACACCAGCTGGGGGTTCTCAACCCTGCCTGTGCATCAAAGCCATGTGTGGAGCTTTTAAAATTATCTGGGTGCCTGGGCCCAGCCCCTGCAGATACAGAGTAGGTCTGAGGTGAAGCAAAGGAAGAATCCATGTTTTAAAATCAATTCAGGCTGGGCACAGTGGCTCACGCCTGTAATCCCTAGCACTCTGGGAGGCCCGGACGGGAGGATCACTTGAACCCAAGACCAAAACAACACCCGGCAAAACAGAGGGAGACCCTCTCTCCACAAAAAAAAAGAATAGCGGCACGGGGGAGCGCGCCTGTAGTTCCAGCTACTCAGGAGGCTGAGGCAGGAGGATCACTTGAGCCCAGGAGTTTGAGGCTGCAGTGAGCTATAATCACACCGCTACACTCCAGCCTGGGCGACAGAACAAGAACCTGTCTTGGAAAAATGAATTCAGCCAGGTTCAGCCTCTGCCTCGGAATAGGCCCTCTTCCCCCTAACCTGCCTGCTGCTCAAAGTGGGTGCCACCAGCCAGCACCACTTATATACCCAGGGATACACATGTGCATGTGTGCGTTCATGATGTGCATTAATTTTGTGCATCACATAGCTGAAAGCACAGGATGGTTGACACTCATCTGCTTTTGTCACCTAACAGTATAATTTGGAGCATTTTCCTATCATGTATTTTAAGCTGCCTCATTCTTTTTTTACTGATGTGGATGTTTAACCAGCTGTTTCTGGTAGGCATTTAGGTTGTTTCTAATCTTTCTGGTAAACAGAGCTACACCAAATAGCCCTGCAGTACATACACGGGCTAATTCCTAGAAGTGGGCTTGCTCAGTCAGTGCACACGTATATTAAATTTTGAGACATGGCCAAATTTCTCCCCCAAAGTCTACCTCAGGGCACCTGTTTCTTCACTCTCTCTTCAATCCAGAGTGTCATCAAATTCTTTACTCTTTGCTGATCTTTTGCCATTTGGGGATAAAAGTTGCTGCCTCCATGAAGAACTGCATTTCTCTTTTATGACCCTGAGTGTCTTTTCACATGTTTAGGAGCCATTTGAATTTCACTTTGTATGAACTGTCTATTTGTGTCCTTTTCCCATTTCTCTCCTTGGTTGTTTGGGTTCGTTCCTTTTTAGTGTTAAACTTTTGATCTTTTTACTCTCCTGGTTTGCTGTGGTTTGTACCGACCAGTGCAGCATTTTTGCTGGTGGTGGATCTGTGAGCGAGAGTCCAGAGCCAGCACCGAGAAGATGAGGGCAAGTGTGAGCCCAGGTCCCCGTCCAGGTGGCTGTGATCAAAGGACTTAGCGACCGTGGGAACATCCTGGACAACACGTAGCAGTGTTTAGATGTATCAATGACACAAACGTTTATCAGACTGGGGGGGGGTGATTTGAGCCACATGTGGTGGCTGTTAAACACATCTCTGATCACAAACATCAATGGTTTTGTTGGCACACAATCCTTGTTAGCTGTCTAGCGTTTAGCTAAAGGGCCACATGGTGAAGGTGCATTTTGGGGCAGGTAAATTTATTTCTTTTTTTGTCAGTATTTCCATTCTAGAAAATGGGACAAGATGCCTACTTTCTCTGAAAATTAGCCCTGTGGTCCGAATGTCCAGTAAAGTTCTCTTTTCTAAGTGCACACTTACATGTTTGGTCAAAAAGGCCAATTCCTCCAAGTGCTGTTTTGTTGTCCTTCCTAAAGGCATGTGCTATAACGTAGCATTTCTCAACTCATGTTAACAGGTGTTCCGTGACTTTTTTTTTTTTTAAGTGCCTGTGGTCACATTAATTTTGAAAAGGCTGCATTAAATAAGTTTCTTTGCAACAGGACTTCTCAGAGCCTTTAATGTACCAACAAGTCTATTGAATGTCCAGAGAGCAATGCAGGATGGCTGTCTTCTGCAGATGTATTTGACCACAGAATACTGTTCCGCATTTTTATGAGCTCTGACGAAAATCCTACTCTAGCAATTAGCTCAAAACTCGGGGAAGAAATCAGGGAAAGATATCAATTTGTTTGCCCCAGATTTCTCCAAATTAGGCCAAACAATGATCCTTAACTGGAAATAGGGTTACTGGTCACTCCACTGCGGTCAGACGTCTGAGGTTACGTAGAAGCGTCCTGTGGTTCAGTCGCACGTGAAGACCTGTTACTTTCTCTAGACTCGCCACGACCCTACCAAAACTGTACAGCTAAGAGACAGAAGTCATTTCTGGTAACCCCTCGCTGCTGCTCCTTGAGGTCCGATCCCACCGTCCCTGAGTCACCCAAATCCAAGCGAGCTGGGGCCGAGGGTGTAGTGCTGGGACCAGACAGAGCCCCTCCGGCCAAAGGCTTTGTTATGAAGCGAGTTTGCCGAGCGCGAGTGTGACTGGAGGGAGGGTGGGAAAGCTCATTCTGTCCCGCTCAGTAACGGCGGCTTACTCTTTCCTCCCAGGTATTTTTCCAGGATTGATTTTTATCCCTTATTGACCTTTTCTCTCCTCTCGAGGAATCTTGTCTGGTTTTCTTCTCAGCCTTCCTTAAAATCTAGAACAGTGGTTCTCAATGATGTTCCAGAACACTGGTGGCTGGGATGTGCCATAGGTCATCTCTGAGCTAAAATAAACCGTTAAAAACACACTGGTGTAAATTACCATAATAGAACGGATCAAGATTACCCTGTAAAATGTCATTTTACCTACTTCACTTAGATTTCCGTTTTGAGGGGAATGAAATGTTTTGATTGCATACGTTATTACGGTGCTTATGAGTGGTTTCATAACTCCATTTTCATTTTCCCTTTTAATAAAATTGCACTTGAGCTAGGAAGATGCTAGGGACATTTTTATTTGTAATAGCACAACTATTGTGATTACCTGACAAATGGCAGCCAATGATGTGAGAAAAATGCCCAATAATGGTATTGTGGTTTTTAAAAAATAAGTTAATATTTGCATTCTTTAGCAGTCTACACTTGCTCCTCTTACAATATTATCCATATTTCCTATGGAGTAGGAGTCTAGACAGCGAGTCACTTTAGAAAATAAAATATAATATTTTCAAGAGTATAATATCTTTGTTATATTATTACTACACTGTAGTAATAAGATTGATATTTGAATAATTCTTATAAACTTTAATATATTCCCGTCTCTAAATATAGTTGTGCCACACCAGTTGTTAATTTCTCTCCTCTGCCAGTTTGGTGGGGAGGGATTTATCAAAACCTGGTTCACCAGTCTGTGTATCACGGGGGAGGGAGTTCATCCAGTGCGCATGACCATGGAGGACCTAATGCCAAAGGGGATCGTCCTCAAGTTTTCAAGTTAGTCTATAGCATGCTTTTTCTTTTTTTTCTTTTGAGATAGTCTCACTTTGTTGCCCAGGCTAGAGTGAGTGCCTTGGCGTCAGCCTAGCTCACAGCAACCTCAAACTCCTGAGCTGAAGCAATCCTCCTGCCTCAGCCTCCCAAGTAGCTGGGACTACAGGCATGCGCCACCATGCCCGGCTAATTTTTTCTATATATATTAGTTGGCCAATTAATTTCTATTTATAGTAAGATGGGGTCTGCTGTTGCTGGTTTCAAACTCCTGACCTTGAGCAATCCACCTGCCTTGGCCTCCCAGAGAGCTAGGATTACAGGCGTGAGCCACCATGCCTGGTCTCTCTTTTTTTTTTTATACACACTTCTGTCTACAATATAGCATCCTTGCCTTGAGGATTCATAGCAGTGGCACACTTATGCCTTCATCAAGGCATGGAGATGTTGATTCCTTCTCACAGCTATGAGGGAAGGACCTGTTCTAGGTCTCTCTTCTTGGTTTGTAGATGGCCATTTTCCCCACTGTGTCTTTCCACATTTCCTTCCCTCTATCTCAGGGTCCAAATTTCCCCTTTTTATAAGGACAACAGTCATATTGGATTAGGGCCCACTCTAATGACCTCACTTTAATTTGATTATATCTACAGTGACCCTGTTTCATAAGGTCACATTCTGAGGTAAGGGGTGGGGACAGGACTTCAACATATTATCTGGGGAAGACACAATTCAGCTCATAACAACATGCTAATTTTCTACTTATCAATTTTTTTCCTTTCTTAAAGATTGTACATGGCAAGTCAAAGCAAATAATCGGAAGTACCATGAACAACCTCAGTTTATGAACACAAAGTTCTTTTGCATTAAGGAGAGTAAATACCGCGGTAAGTTCTTTTAACTTCCTAAATTATTTTTATGAAAACCCAGTTTTTTCCAGTAGCAGGCATGCTAACTAGCTTCATGTTTCAGCTGCCTTTCAGGAAACCACTACCCTGAGGCTATTGACAATCATTGCTATTTCTATACCGTGTTTCCCCGAAAATAAGACCTACCATAAAATAACCCTAGCAGGGTTTCTAAGCATTTTCGCAATATGAACCCTAACCCCAAATAAGACCTAGCGATGGCATGGCTACGCAGTGTATTTGCACAACCATCGGCATTTCGTTGCGGGGCGGTAAAGAAGATGAGCAGCCCTTCTCATCTGCCCCATGAGAGCTCTTATTGCTCGGCATGAGAGATTGGGGCCAATGGTTCTAAAGGAAGTAGAGGAGCAAGAAGTTCAGGATGGAATTTGGGGTTTGGAGAGTTACGATGATGTTCCAGAAGAAGACGACTTAACTATATTTGAATAAATGTAGATCGTTGTACTATACTTAAAAAAAATAACACATCCTCTGAAAATAAGCCTAGGGTGTCTTCTTGAGGAAAATAAATATAACGACCCTGCTCTTTCATTTTCGGGGAAACACAGTCCGAATGTGGCTTTTGTTGACATTTACACTTAGGGTAGGTAGGAGTAACCTGAAACAAAACAGAATTATGTAAATTGAAATTTTCCCTGTGTATGTGCAAATCTGTTGAAAGTGTTTTGTGCAAGAATATCCAACGATGTCACAGAAGCCTTATGTTTGAAAGTAATGAGTGTGAGAGTAATCTTAATACATTATTTTCCTCTCCTTTGCCCAGAATGGCTTTAGAGACTTTAAAGACATTTTCACCTAAAAAAAAAAATGCCTATTACCTTTGAAATATGATAAAGAACACCTGTTAAGTGAGGGCTTCAATGCTGTAAAATGTCTGTATTAGTTTTCTAGGGCTGCCGTAACGAAATCTATAAGCCACAACTGGGTGGCTTAAGACAACAGAAATTTAATCTCATAGTTCAGGGGGCCAGAAGTTTGAAGTCAAGGAATCGGCAGGGTGGGTTCTTTCTGGAGGCTCTGAGGGAGAGTTTGTTCCCTGCCTTTCCTAGCTTCTGGCGATTGCTGGCAATCCTTGGCATGCCTTGGCTTGTAGACACATCACTCCAATCTCTGCCTACTCCCTTCCTCCTCTCATAAGGACACCAGTCATTGGATCAGGGCTGCCTTAATCATGTGTGACTTCATCTCGATTATATCTGCAAAGGCTTTTTTCTGTTTCCAAATAAGATCACATTCACAGGTGGGTTAGGACCTGAACGCACCTTTTAGGGCATGCAGTTCAACCCACAATAGTGTCTTTTTCTCTTGCAGTGGCCTCAGTCCCCCCTTAAATAAATGTGTTCCTCTTCCTGCTTTGCCCATGTTGATGTCTGCCTGTTTTTAAGAGGATGTAATGGATCAAGGAATTCTGACAGCAGAATTCATCTGGTCATGGTCTGATGTCTGTATCTTGTTACTGTTTTGACATAAGACTCCAAGTAGTCATTTTGAAGCTTGGCTAGAAGCTTAAAAAGAAACCTCAACATAGTTCTGACTGGCAAATTACATTCCTGTGTCACTGTAGGCTGTGGGACTTAGTGATTTTTATTTTTTGCAGATGTATATACACTGTGATAAATGTGACATCCTTTAGAATGACTTTCTTATTTTTCCCAACAGAATAATGCAATTAAAACATACAAGTACAACGCCTTTACCTTTCTACCGCTGAATTTGTTTGAGCAGTTTAAGAGAGCAGCCAATATGTATTTCCTGGTCCTTCTTATCTTGCAGGTAATGCCCTTTGATATCTTAAATCTACTTTGAATTATGGTGACTCAGTCACATTTAAGTCTTGGGCGCACACATCATTGTGAATAGTCGTGGAAATATTCACATCAGGGTTCTATACATAAGGGAATGGGACTTTGCACACAGAACTGGCTCAATCTATTGAATGAAAAAGGAAAGGGAGCCAATGGACATATTATTCTAATTCTGTATTTTAAAAAATTTGAGGCTGAGGCGGGTGGATCACTTAAGGTCAGGAGTTCGAAACCAGCCTGAGCAAGAGCAAGACCCCCGTCTCTACTAACAATAGAAAGAAATTAATTGGCCAACTAAAAATATATAGAAAAAATTAGCCGGGGATGGTGGTGCATGCCTGTAGTCCCAGCTACTCGGGAGGCTGAGGCAGAAGGATCTCTTGAGCCCAGGAGTTTGAGATTGCTGTGAGCTAGACTGATGGCACGGGACTCTAGCCCGGGCAACAGAATGAGACTTTGTCTCAAAAAAAAAAAAAAAAAAATTGATGTCACACTGATGTGAGCGTTAAAACTGGTATCCCCCAAAAGTGAATAAAATTAAAACCCTCGCTTTGTAAAACTGTTTGTACCTTAAAATGAAACCTATTTTTTTGTGTGCTTGTCCTTTATTTTTATATTTAGATGCCTAATTTCCCCAGGAATTTTATGATTCTTACTAATATTTTGGTCATAAATCTCCATAAATTATTGTTTGTGATGTGGTTTTACATTAGAACAGGCCTAGTTTTTCCTAAAGCTTTTTCTCTTCGTTGTGGCAAAGCGTTCACTTATCTGGAAGCACATTGTTATCTGTGTGGAAACTGTTGCTGCAATCAGGGGATCCATACGCACTCCAGTGAGTGCCCAGAGACAACCTTTGGTACCTGATGTGCAGGTCACAGGGCATAGCCTATCCGCATGACTTTATCAGATTCTTGACATCAGGCATTGAATTTGGAGAATGGTCCCAACTGCTGGGATTCAGCCTGTATGGTTTTATGAAAATGGTAGCATTTGTCTCTGGGTGGGGCTAGAAGATGCATGGGGAGAAGACACTGGGGAGAAATGGATACCCAACAGATTGAGTAAAATATAAGGCCCACTGACCTGATAGGAAAGGATGTTCCTGTTACCGAGGGTGACATTTAGACAGACATGTGGAGAGGCAAACACTGCAAATTATAAGGTGCTGCTGTGTTGCCAAGTAGGCTATGTTTCCCTTCCTTCCCTCTAGCAGGGAAGAGGAGAGTTTCGCATGTTCACTGTGTTATGAGAAGAAGTGATTTTTCTCTCTTCCATCCACACCTCAATGATCTTCTCTTGCGGTGTAGCAATCCAAATGAGGGTAGTAGTAAGAGCCTAAGATGGACATTTACTTGCACTGTTACTTCATTAAATTCTTGCACTGGCTAAGTACTGGCATAACCTCCAACGTGCAGAGAACTGAGGCCTAGTGAGCTAAAGTAACTTGCTCCAAGTCCCACAGCTCTTAGATGCTAGAGCTCGGCCAGACTTGGACCCAGGAGTTTGACTCCAAAGCCTATCATTGTCACCACTACATTACATGGCTCAGGGATCAGTAGGATAGTTATAAAAGATCTTTAGAAAACTTGTTTCTCATCTTTCATTCAAACTTGGGGGCTGTCTTGATGGAAGGAAGTGGGGCTTCCTGCAAGGCCAGCTCCTTTCTTGGCTGGGCCGATAATGCTGACCATAAGGAAAGCACTGTCTTTGAGAGCCCCCAAAGATGCCCTATGTAATCACCAGCTGTCAACGGCAGCCACTGCCTCCTGCCATCTTGGCTTCCAACACTGGATCCTCAGAAACCGCTGGCTGAACAACCTGATGCATAGAGCCTCCTATATGTGCCATCCCTAAAAGTTAAAGGACTTCTTTCCCTGTGCCCCTACCCTTAGTTAATTATGCTTAAATACCTTTTCCTGCATGCTCTACAGGATGTAGAGATGTGTGATGACGGAGATGAGACTTAGAATTCGCAAGCTTAGAACTAACAATCAGTGACCCATAAGCTCGATCCGCCTTTCGTGGGCACATTTACAAGCCTTTTTATTCCTTTTAGGCAATTCCTCAAATCTCTACCCTGGCATGGTACACCACACTCGTGCCCCTACTGCTGGTGCTGGGCATCACTGCAATCAAAGACCTGGTGGACGACGTGGTAAGGGTTTCTCATGCAACGTTCTGCTCACTGCGTTGAGCTTATTTTAATTTGGCATTCATACCTTCCATATTGAGATGATTAAAGCAGCATTTCCTCGTCTCCCTTCTCAAGGCCCGCCATAAGATGGATAAGGAAGTCAACAATAGGACGTGTGAAGTCATTAAGGATGGCAGGTACCCTGTTTCCTTTAATTTGTAACATAGCTACAAGGATAAAATGTATAAAGATGTATAGAAACTTGTCTAGAACTATTGGGATGTAGATGTCTATTAGTACATTAACTTTTTAATTGTAAAGGCTTCTCTTAACTTACAAAGGATTGATACTCCCTAACCCAACCCCTATACCTGCCCTTAACCCTACCTGACCCTTATCCCTCACCCTAACCTTAACCCTAACCCCTAACATTAAAGAAAAAAAAAATTGCATCACATTCATGGCCCTGAGGCTATGTTCAAATCGGATTACCAGCTGTTTCCTGATGGAGCTTTGTGTTATCAGCACATCTTGTGTTTACACAACTCCTGCAGCCTCCCAAACTTATCCTTTTCAGGGCTTTACTCATGTCTTGACACCTTCCCCCAGATGGTCCAGTTAAGGTGATATCTCGCTTCCCTACACTTTCAGAGCATTTTGTTTTCATTTTTTTTATTATATGAATTTTATTAAAATCTTCTAACCTGGACTGTACATTTCTTGAGGGTACTGTTCTGCCTCCAACACACAGAAAGCACTCAATACACGTTTGTGAAATTAACATTCGACTGTGACCGAAGTACCAACACAGCAACCAGTGATGAGTTGTTTAGAGCCTCAAGGCAGAACTGCAAATTCAAGTGTTAAAAATAATGACTAAGGCCCAATTCAAAGACTTTTTATGTGTCAACACTGAGGAAAATAACCTGATTTATAGCCATCCGTCCCTGTGTAAAACCTGATTTACAGCCATCCATCCCTGTGTGTAATGCAAATAACAGGCTGCACCAAGCCATGAATATGTTTAGATAGCTTTTCCACTTGCAAATAAGTAGATTTCCAAAATTGACCTAAAGGTGTCAAAAGACAAAATTACAACAATTTAAAAATCTCAATTGGCTTTATTTACGATTCTAGAATTGGGTAACACTTCATTCCGTGAAACAGAATTAAGTGTTCCAGGGAGCCCAGTAGAGAAGTTTGGTTTTATAGACAAAGAAGAGCTGAAGAAAGCAAAAACCAGGAACAAAAAGCATATTAGTCATTTGAAAGTTACTTTCTTATGAGGTAGGAACAGGAAAACAGAACAATAGAGAAATAACAGGTTAACATCAGGTTACTTCACATTATTTTTTTGGTAAGGATTAAAGCAGGGGGAACGTTATTATCATGACTGAAACTAATTCTGTTTGGGAAATTTGATTTCTCAGATGGACAGTCGCTCAGTTTCAGTTTGGCGACATGGAACCTCAGCATGGGCAACTCCATTTTGGCATTTAATCTGGTCTTTTCGGGCCAAGTACAGACGCGTAGTCCAAAACAGTGGCCTCCATTAATTTTTATTATTGAATGCAAGTCACTGAGAATCAATATTGGGAATGTGGTGAGATCCACGGCCAGCCCACACTCTGTTTTGCCCATGACGTAGCCAACTCTGCCGGGAAAGAGTAGCTCCGAGTTGCCTCGGATTTGTGAGTCGAGGCTGCACGTATGACAGGGCCATGGCCCCAGGAGCCCCTGCAGTGGGGACAAGCCTGCCAGAACGTGTGCATGCGTGTGGCACAGCACAGGGGCCTCCTCAGGGGAGACCGGAACATCAGATGGAAGAGCCCAGTGGAGTTGTCGCTAGTGCTCCCAGAGAGCCAGCACAAGGCACTAACTTGTCCATTTGTCATTTCAGACTCTTGTAAATTTCTGATTTACAATATTAGAAATATTGAAATGTCTGTAAAAAAAAAACCCCAAAAACTTCAGTATCATTTATTGAAAAGTAAGCCAAGTTAAAAAAAAAAATCCTGGGGTTAAGAATTATGTACGAAACTCTTGCAAAATTAGAGAAACTGAGGGATAAACATATTTAAGATGTATTTTAAATCTCCAGGTTTTATTTTTTAATCCATAAATGAATGGGAGACAAACATAGCAGTTAGATTTCTGCCTCCAGAAAAATGAATTAGTTATGCTAGGTTCATCATGTCTGTGAGGTCTTTTATATATGTGGCATGTAAGATCAAAGGAATCTGACAGCAGAAATTCATCTGTCATGTCCGATGTCGGTATCTTGTTACTGTTTTGACATAAACTCAAGTAGTCATTTTGAGAGCTGCTATAAAGCTTAAAAGAAACCTCAACATATTCTACTGCAATTACATTCCTGATGTCATGTAGCCTGTGGGACTAGTGATTTTTATTTTTGCAGATGTATATTACACTTGATTATAATGTGACATCCTTTAGTAATGACTTTCTTATTTTTCCCACAAATAATGGCAATTAAAACATACAAGTACAAACCCTTTACCTTTCTACCGCTGAATTGTTTGAGCAGTTTAAGAGACAGCCCAATATTATTTCCTGGTCTTCTATCTTGCAGGTAATGCCCTTTGATATCTAAATCTACTTTGAATTATGGTGACTCAGTCACTTTAATCTGGCGCCACACATCATTGTAGATGTCGTGAAATATTCGCATCAGTGTTCTATTACTAAGGGAATGGGACTTTGCACACAGAACCTGGCTCAATTATTGAATGAACAGAAAGGACCATGACATATCTATCCTAATTCTGTATTTAAAAAATTTAGAGAGCTTGAGGCGGGGATCACTTAAGGTCAGGAGTTCAAACCAGCCTGGTAGAAGAGCAGACCCGTCTCTACTAACAATAAAAGAAATTAATTGGCCACTAAAAATATATAAAAATTAGCTGGGGCATGGTGTCGCATGTCCTGTAGTCCAGCTACTCTGAGCTGCAGCAGAAAGACGCTTTAGCCCCAGGATTGAGTTGCTGTGAGCAACTGATGCATGGATCTACCCGGGCACATATGACTTGTTCAAAAAAAAATAAAAAAAAAAAAAAATTGAGTCACACGATGTGAGCGTAAGAACGGTTCCCCAAAAGTGAATAAAAATAAACCCTCGCTTGTAACACTGTGTATAAAATGAAACCTATTTTTTCTGTCCTTATTTTATATTTAGGATGCCAATCCCCAGAATTTTATGATCTACTAATATCTTCTGGTCATATCTCATAAATTATTTTGTTGATGCGGTTTTTACATAAACAGCCTAGTTTTTCCTAAAGTTTTTCTCTTCGTTGCAAAGCGTTCACTTATATGAACACGGTTGTTATCTGTGGGAAACTGTTGCTGCAATCAGGACCATACGCACTCCAGTGGATGCCAGAGACAACCTTTGTACCTTATTCAGTCACAGCATAGCCTACCGCTGACTTTATCAATTCTTGCATCAGCATGATGGAGAATGGCCCACCTCTGGATCACCGTAATGGTTATTACAATGTAGCATTTGTTCTTGAGCTAGAAGACATGGGAAAGACCGGGAGGAAGATACCCAACAGATTAGTAAATAAAGCCACTGACCTGATACGGAAAGGATGTTCTGTTACGAGGTGAATTACCCGACATGTAAGGCAATACACTGCAAATTATAAGGCTTGCTGTGTTCCATAGGCTAGTTTCCCTTCCTTCCCTCTACAGGGAAAGGAAATTTTCGCATGTTCACTGTTATATAAGAAGTGATTTTCTCTCTTCCACAAACCATCTCAATATTTCTCTGCTGTGAGCAAATCAAATAGGGTATGTAAAGCTCTAATATGGACATTACTTGCACTGTTACTTCATCTAAATTCCTTGCACTGCTAGTACTGCATAACCCCAACCGTGCAAGAACTGAGTCCTGGTCAAATACTTGCTCCAAGTCCCACAGCCCCATAATCTAGACCTTGACCCAGGATTGACTCCAAATCCTATCCGTCACCACTACATTCACATGCATTCAAGGACAGTAGATAGTATAAGAGATCTTAGAAACTTTCTCATCTTTCATTCAACTTGGACCTCCGATGGAAGAGTGGGCTTCCTCAAGCCAGCTCTTTCTGCGGCCAATAATGCTACCATAGGAAACACTGTCTTGAGACCCCCAAAAGATCCCTACTGAATCGCCAGCTTTCAAAGGCAGCCACACCTCCTGCCATCCCTGGTTCAACACTGACGCTCCTAAACCGCTTGCTAACAACCTGATGCAAGAGCCTCCCTATATTCCATCCTAAAAGTCGCCACCATGCCCGGCTAATTTTTTCTATATATATTAGTTGGCCAATTAATTTCTTTCTATTTATAGTAGAGATGGGGTCTGCTCTTGCTCAGGCTGGTTTCAAACTCCTGACCTTGAGCAATCCACCTGCCTTGGCCTCCCAGAGAGCTAGGATTACAGGCGTGAGCCACCACACCTGGTCTCTCTTTTTTTTTTCAATCACACTTCTGTCTACAATATAGCATCCTTGCCTTGAGGATTCATAGCAGTGGCACACTTATGCCTTCATCAAGGCATGGAGATGTTGATTCCTTCTCACAGCTATGAGGGAAGGACCTGTTCTAGGTCTCTCTTCTTGGTTTGTAGATGGCCATTTTCCCCACTGTGTCTTTCCACATTTCCTTCCCTCTATCTCAGGGTCCAAATTTCCCCTTTTTATAAGGACAACAGTCATATTGGATTAGGGCCCACTCTAATGACCTCACTTTAATTTGATTATATCTACAGTGACCCTGTTTCAAATAAGGTCACATTCTGAGGGTAAGGGGTGGGGACAGGACTTCAACATATTATCTGGGGAAGACACAATTCAGCTCATAACAACATGCTAATTTTCTACTTATCAAATTTTTTCCTTTCTTTCTTAAAGATTGTACATGGCAAGTCAAAGCAAATAATCGGAAGTACCATGAACAACCTCAGTTTATGAACACAAAGTTCTTTTGCATTAAGGAGAGTAAATACGCGGTAAGTTCATTTTAACTTCCTAAATTATTTTTATGAAAACCCAGTTTTTTCCAGTAGCAGGCATGCTAACTAGCTTCATGTTTCAGCTGCCTTTCAGGAAACCACTACCCTGAGGCTATTGACAATCATTGCTATTTCTATACCGTGTTTCCCCGAAAATAAGACCTACCCATAAAA